AAAGTTTAAGGGATTGCTTTAGTGCAACAATGCTGTCTGAAAAGGTGAAATACTGCTAGCAAAGGTGTATAAAATTTATCATTAGATCAACTAGAAAGGTGACTTGTCAGAAAGTGTACAAAAGGTCAAGAGTTCAAAGTAACATGATCAACATTCTCTAGGGTATCAACTTACAAGTTTAGGACCATTTCATAAACACCTTGAATTCTTCTAGACGTTTTGGCCAGAAATCTCTCAACACTAATTTGCCCATGGGCAAGATCAATGGACAGATTTTTGATAACTTCATCATTTGCCATGACTGACAATTCCTGACCACGGCTGCATGTGTGGCCGTTTTCTAGGTCTTGGCAGTCATTCCAATAGCTGTCTTCAAGTTCTTTGATAGCATCTGCAAGATGAATGATAACAGTTAGTAAAGTCCATAAATAAGCGAAAAGAAATGATATTTCAGAGTCTGCTCTAAATTCTAAAGGGACATATGTCCAATAGTTCATGAAGATAATAAATAAGCATAGATAATAAACAATGAAGTATACATAAGACTGTAGAACTTGGGGAATTTTTGAAATGAGCCAAAATAAGTGGTATAGGTAAAACAATTTTTTTATAAGATTTCTAAATGTTAACCGTGGATGGGGTGTTGAAATAGTTAAGATTATCCTATAATTTAAGAAAGTTTTGAGAAGAAAGGCGCATAGTTAGATAAGACTCAAATGCTTATTAACATTTCTGAATTTTTCTCATATACAAAATGTAAAGGAAAAGCACTGCTATAAATACCAATCAAATTTTAGATCCAATTTTAAAAATTCATTCATTTTTAAAGTCAACAGTCTTACTTTCAAACCAGCAATTAAATTATAAACTTACAGAGAAAGGTGTATACTGACGGTTTCTTAGTGCCACATTCACTTGCAAAGGTCGCGTTGGCACTTTCGCAAGCGTTGGAAGTTCGGTCAGAACAACCGTATACAGACAGCCTCCTCATGAAGTCCTGTTAAAACCATGTTCTCAACATGTAATTAAGCATGGGTTCCATGGTCTCGACAGTCCTTCAGCATGACATCTATTTGAAACACATTCCAATCCGGTCACCAACTTGTCTACAGGCAACAGTGCAAGGGCACAAAGAGAACGGACAATACTGTCCATGGTCTCATTTGCCCTGATGAGAGGGACGAGACCCAGCTCTTGGGCATGCAAAGCAATTGCCTGTAATACAAATGAAAATTACAAGACATTAACAAAAAGAAGCAGAAGTTAATGAATTAAGTTCTTAGATCTGAACCACAATAAAGGGTTTTCCCTCTCTAAATCAAGTAGTAAGAAGAGAAAAAAAATTGAAGTCCAGCCAAAACACTTTCATCACAGAGGATTTATCAAACCAACCAACCTTAGAGCCGTGGAAGAGGCAGCCAGATAGAGTTGCCAAAGGGTACACTGTCTCCCAGGCATTGCACTGGGCAGACTCAAAGTCACACATGACTGTCCTAGGACTGAAATCAGGCACGATTTCTTTCAACGCCTCTAAGCAGACTTTATAGCACTCGTCAGACTTGGACTGCATGAGAAACCGTGCTAGGACAATGACCTGGCGATAAGATACAATTAGTGTACATCTAGAGAGTATTACTCAATATTATTCAGTTGAAAGAAACTGACATCACAATAACAACATACATGATTCCTTCGTATTGTTCAAATATTCCACAGTTGTCGCCCATTGAGTGCAACTGGGACACAGAAGTTAGCATCGCTCAAAACCTCTAGCACAGGAGAGTCTTCCGATGACATATAATGGAGCAACCGATGAGAAGAAAACATCAGACAGCGAGTGCCTTTGGAGCTCTGACCAAACTTCCCAATGCAGAGTAGATCTTCGCCATCTAGAGTTTTATTCAGAAAGTCATAGGCAGGATCTTCTAGAATTGCTGCTAACTCAGATATAGAGTGAGGTATAGGAGGCAGATGCTCTCTTCTGGCCCTAAGCATAGATGATCGTAGTTTGACATACGTCAATCCCCCTCTCTGATTACTAGACAACCTGCAAATCAAACCATTTCATAAAATAAATATTTAACATAACCAAGACAAACAATAAATATTTAAAATACACATAATTTGAAGTCAGATGCCATGGCACACCTCATCCGTTCCCTCACTCTGTTGTACAGCTTTTTTAATGAAACATTAAAATTGCCTTCACCTCCTCTTTCTACGTCCGTTGAACACGCAGCGTAGTGACACTCGACCTCCTTTCATGAAAGAATGGACATGATATGCATGCCCATTGGAGCAATGTAGTAGGAACCAGGATGTCTGCCTTTATGTACAGAGATACAGAGACAGTGATTTCTTCCATGGCAAAACCTGAAAAAGAAAATGTTACTTTTGCTAAGCGACATGTGCACCTCTACGACAAAGGACAAATAATGTGCAAAGTGACTATCTGCGTCGTTGAACCTTGCTCGACAACAAAAATTAAAGCGGTGATCTGAGATTGGCCACTCTGGCGCGTTCCACAGAAGGTTAGGTTAGGATTATATCGCAACTTAAAAGAACGCAGGTTCTCACAAGAAAAGCAAAATCTAATAGGCCAGACGAACACGCATGAAAGTAATTGGAAGTTGATCGATGAACTTTAAAAGACGTAGTACTTTAACGCATAATCATCCAATTTTTGTTGGTGAATCGAGTCAGTAGCTCCTGTTGTGTTGTTTTGTTACGACACGGGAGAAAGCAGAAAACGGCGTTGCCGACGCCAGCGAAACAGACTATCCAAAATTCTCATACTATCTTCAAACAAACGTTGGCGTTGGCGGGATTGGCGGTTGGCGCTGTTTAGCGGTATTCTGGCTCTGGCTTGTAACAGCTCTTTTCCCGAAAATCGTAAGTTCGTGCTCTCATTTACAATTTATACTAAATTTACTAAATGTTCTATCGTGGGGAATACATCGAGAAGAGAAATGTTGTTTGTTTGAAATGCTGGAAGCCCACGGAGGATCTAACCCACCTAACCTTCCGTTTTATTTAATTTAGCCTTTCGGCGTCACTTAAAATTACTGACTTATTCGTGACATTATTTGACCGACACTCCAATTTGTTCTCAAACATTTTCTAACAATGTCTACTTGCCTTTTCCTTCTGGAGTCTCCAGAAAATTGTTACTTTCCATCTAGGGAGAAACGACTGTTAAAGCTTGTGTCAGCCGGATTACGGATTACCCGGATTACCTCTGGAGTATCCTCCGGATTACGTTAATTTTTCTTTTGGATTACC